AAGCGCATCCAACCAAACGTGTTCATCGTCCTTCGGACCCCAACCAGGGGGCTGAGACGTTCCAACTGAGGCCAGCTTCGAAGTGAGGACCTTCATTCCTCTCGACCAAACCATCGCTTGGCCACCCCGCCTCTTCTTCCATCCACACTCCTGGCGAACAAACAACGCACGTCGCAGGAGCCGGTGGGCTGGCATGCGCAACACATGGCCGAGCTATCGGAGTCTGGTAGTGTAATAACGGTGCTGAGCGGTTCATTTTCTTTTCCTGTGCCGTAAACAAGGCGTCGAACACGCTCGTTGCTCACTCGGTATTCCGACCAGATGTGAGCAAACCCGAAGAGGCACCGCTGGTCGAACATAACTAGCCGCTATGTCGGCTGATCTGAGGAGCCAGATTTCAGAACCGTACAGTAGTTTCGAACGTACCGCTGCAATGTACACTCTACCCTTCAGGGAGAGAGTAATGTCGCGCTGGCGCCATAAGTAGCGAAGGTTAGCAAAAGCGCCTCAAATTTTTGTTAGGCGATTCGTGATCTCATCTGTAATCCCAAAAGCGCTGATAAAAGTTTCCAGGTAGTTGAATTTTTGAACGATTTCTAGCTATTTCCCACCAACGACCAGCGCAAGTGGTGGTCCAGGCCAATGTTGGAAGAATGCTTTGCACTTCGAGGGTGCGAAGCAAAGCCCGGATTGACTGGCAGCTAGTGCTAATCTGTTCAGTGCAGCTTGACACGTTTGTGAGCTGTCACGGCTGAGGGCAATATCGTCAGCGTACTCCAAGTCAAGAAGTCGTTCGCTTGGAAGCAGCTCCACATTTTCTACATCGTGTCCTTTGAACGCAATCTTCATTACTTAGTCAATAGCGAAGTGGAAAAGGAAAGGTGACAGCAGGCATGTTTGTCTCATACCGCTGGAGATTGAAGGGCGGCGACAGCTTGCCGTAAACCATCACACTGCCCGTACTACGCGCGTATAGAGAACAGATAATATGTATATATTTCTCGGGCACACCTTTCTTGAGTAGACAGTCCCAAACGGAACATCGATCAACCGAATCGAAGGTACCATTGATGTCAAGGAACAGGAATACGGTGGGCCGCCAATATGTGTGACAGTGCTCCAACAACTGACGTAATGTGAATATGTGGATGATACAGCCACAACCTTGATGAGACCCGGCTTACTCTTCACGAATATGGCTTTCACGAGCGCCAGTCAGTCTGTGAGGGATGACAGTGACAAGTAATTTGGAGGCGATCAGGATCAGACTGATTCCTCTATGATTGCCGTATTCCGAACTCGACCCGCATTTGAAGATCGGAACAGTAACGGGGCGGCTCCAGTTGGTTGGGACAGTTTCCTGCTAGCATAGTTTCACTAGTAATTCGCGTAAAGGATCCACAAGAGCAGGGCCCCGAATATGAAAAGGGCTGGATAAAGATCATCTGGTCCCGCGGCTTTATTTAACTTCAACAGTCCGATCTCATTTTTGACTTCTGAGAGTGAGAGTGGATCCAAAGGGACAGCCCAGGGAGCAGGGCAATCACTGGCCGGTGAGGAAGCTAACAATTCCGGTCGATGGAATTGTTTTTCAAAATGCTCAGCCCAACGCTCCAAACGTTTTGACAAGTTGTGGATAGGCTTTCCACTCACTTCACGTATAGTTTCACTAAAACCAGGTATTCTGCCGCCCGTTTTCCGTATCAAACGGAATAACTTTCGGTAGTTACCAAGGACAACGCCACGTCCATCTCTGACGCACGAAGAGACCACCAGGCTTCGCAATCTCTCTTCAGGCTAGCATGGAGTTTTTCCCGGAGCTCTTCGCCAGTCTCATTGTGTTCGCTTTCAGTCTGAATGTGTCGGCGAGCATCGACAAGTTCCAGAGAACGCAAAGAGACCCCATGTCCATGTTGCTATCAGAATTACCACATGAGGATTTGCCTGCTTCTAATAAGGTTTGGTGAACATGCGACCTGTGACCTACAATTGTCTCCAGTGAGAGCTTACTCAACCCGCATGCCAGCGTATTTCGATTTGCCTTCAGAGCAGCTGGCTTCGCCAGTTCACTGGTGTTAATGCGCTTACAGCGTCGTTGTGGGTGTCCGCCAAAACGCATCCGCAGATCAGCACATACAAGTGCATGGTCAGTGTCCATACATGTGCTCCAAATCGAGCGACAGTTCTGGACGCAGCCTATCCAGCGGTAACTTATCGCAATGTGATCGAGTTGCGTCCATAGCTAGTGGAAACAGTTCAGGATATGGCGCGCAATCGAAGTTAGTGTGCATACTTGCTAGGATTCAGATGTTTGATGCTCAACAATGAGAAAATAAAAAACGGAAAACGGCGCTTAAAAATAACAAAAAATGTTGCGTTTTTTCTTCGGCACAATATATATATATATATATATATATATATATATATATATATATATATATATATATATATATATATATATATAGTCCAGGAAATGGACACAGCCATATAGAAAACACTGGGAATCAAAGGAAAGTACAAGTTGACAAGAAGGTAGAATGAATGTGAATCAATACAACCCTGTGTACAATTGTTCCACTGAATCCGGTTGTGGACTATGTCTGCAAGTGTGTCAAGCCACTGACACTCTTGATCCTTGGGTCCCATCATGAAGAAAGTACGGGTCCAACGGCGGCTAGACGCGACATCAGTGATTTCATGTGCTGTCGTCAAGTGGAAGGCTGACTACCACGCGGTCACCTCCATCCCTGTCCTGAGCGAACGAATAGAGTGCCGTGCGGCAAATACTCAGGCACCATGCGTAGGGGGTGAATGAGCCATCGCAACTAGCGCAGTGAAACCAGCTTGTTGAAGGGAATACTTGCATTTCCATGACACAACGTCTAACGTCTTCGCTGTGAACACCGTGTTACCACCACACATCAGCGATCCTCCTCAAACCACCGTTGTCGAAGGAAGAAAGACGACGCATGTCCTCCAAGCGAATTGATCAGGACTCAACCCCAGACAACAAAAGACAACGAACAGATGTACTGTTTACACGGCCCGTTATCGAAATTAAGACGTCACGACGACGCCACAAGTGCTTCAGATTGACACATGCTGATTGGTCTTTAACGATACGAAGAGGAACTTCTTGTTGATAGTGTCGTCAGCAGAAACACAGCTCCCAAGATAGACGAAAGTATCTACCTGTTAAGGTTGTGCATTCGCAAAGGTGTGCAGAGGAGCAGGTGTGGGTCAATCCTGGAGCAACACTTCACACTTCAATAAGTCGTAGGTCATTCCAACCGCCAAACGATCCAGAATGAGTTACATATTTTGTGGATCGTCACCGAGTAAGGCGATATCATCAGCATAATCTAAGTTGGTCGCACGCTCGCGCGGTAGAAGCTCTAGGCCAAAATGTTGGAAACCTTTCAGAGCTCTCTACAAGAAGTCTTCGATTGCGAAGTTGAAGAGGAATGGAGACATAGGGCAGTCCTGTCGCATAACGCTATTGACAGCGAAGGGCGAGGAAAGCTTGCTGTAGACCCTCACTCTGTCTGAGGTATGGAGACAAAGCGCACGTATGATGGCGGTATACTTCACGGACACCCCGTCCTTCATCAAACAACGACATAAAGCAGGTCGATCAACGGAGTCAAATGCAGCCCGTATGTCTAGGAATGTAATGATAGTAGGCCTGCGGTAAACGTGCCGATGTTCGAGGAGTTAACGGAGCGTGAAGATTCGATCCGCGCATCCACTGCCTGGAGGTAAGCCACCTTGTTTTTCGCGGTAGTATGACTCACGTACTGCGGAGCAGAATGGATCCCAGTAGCTTGCAGACAACCGAAATAAGACTAATCCCGCGATGATTTACACAGGAAGTGCGAGCGCCTTTCTTGAAAATCGGGGCAACAACTGATTCACTCCAAAAGGAAGGCAATTTCGCTTCATGCCAGATTTTTGCGAACAATGAGGTCATGGGATAATGGTCGCCATGCTGCTGTACATGAAAAGCTCAGGAGGAAGTCCGTCTGAATCGTCAGCCTTGAATCGCTTCAGGCGTCGAATCTGCTTCATTGAGTGGATCCAATGGGACGAGCCAGGCTAGACAACAAGATGTACTGCATTCACTGATGGACGGCGGAGGCCAATTTAACTGCGAGTGAAAGTGCTCGGCCTATCGGTCCAAACGCCTCTGTTTGGTGGTGATGGGAGACTCATCCGCCTCACAAATAACCTCACTGACACCAGGCTTCCTGAGATCAGTGGATCGAATGATTCGGAAAGGCTTGCGATGGTTGTCAAAGAGGGCAACGGTCTCCATCTCAATAGCACGCTCAGATCACCAAGCCACGCGATGCTTGCGCAGGCTTTGCTTGAGCAGCGCAGCTAGTTGCAATCTGATTCTACCGGGTTATCTCTGTGGCGATCGAACAGCTCCAGAGAACGAGCAGAGATCCAAGACTTAAAGGGGTGAAGGGCAAGGCCGCAGCTAGGATGTCCGGAAGTGATCATCGCTTTTGTATACAAGTCCAGTGTTGATATATGTCTTGCGGTGGATTGTAACTGAGTGCGGATGCGAGTGTAGGCTGGCAGCTCGCCTGGACCGGGGGAGCAGTTAATCTGTTTGCATGAATCTTGCAGTCCTTCGTTTTTGGGACCCCCCAAAATATTTACAGATTTTCGAGCAAACCAGTGCATGATCTGTCAATGCAAGACAATAGTCGACGTGTGTCGCTCATCTTCGCTTAATGTGACATGATGATGATGCGGCGACTCGGCCTGCCTTTTTCCGTTGATTTCCATGGTTCCGCTTGGTTCTATGTCTGCTGTTAACACATACTCAAGTCGCAGTAATATAATCGAGTCGACCTCAGAAATGCTTGTTGAAAAGATCTACACTTAATGAAAAACTGCAACTGGACACAACCAGAAAGCTGCTATACGCACATAAAGCACTAGTACGTCATTTCATTCTTTCAAGACTCATCGATATAAAATTCATTTACCTTTATTACGCGCCCGAAGAACAGCTCGGTGCGAAGAGTCAACTCGCACAAGTCCTTCTCCAACAAAGAAGTGATCGATTCCAGACGGGCTATTGACGCATCCATCTGGCTACGATACTGAGGAGCGAAGGAACGTAGAAAACATAAATTCCACTAACCTTGGCCAATTTAGCCAAATTTTCACCAGTGCGTTCGGCGCCCTCCATCTTTGAGCACTTTTTCTTATGCTTTTCAATGTCTTTGATAGCATTCTCCCGTGCGTCAAATAAGGGGGATATCATGCGTAGGACGGAGAATACTCTGTGAAACGAACATAACAGAGTAAGCCAGACAGAAGTCCCCTAACACCGAAAAAATGGAATACTGTCTCATACTTACTTTTTTAGAGGCTCCAAGAAGTAATTTTCATTTACGCTTTGCTGAACATACAGTTATGTTCAAGAATGGCTTGTACTTACAAAATTTGCGTAGATTTGTTCAGCCTTTTGTAGTTCAGATATGATGTTACACAAAGAACGACCGCTCCGCAGACTGAATAGATCGGTCTTATTGAAGAAGGTCGGAAAGTCTTCTTCGTGCTTAAAAACCACTAAGCAATAAGTAACTCTGAGAGAGAATGTTACTCTCATATTTTTTTACCAAAAGCGTCAGCTCGCTTACGGTAAGTGAGAACAACTTGACCATTCTGAAACCGTGAATTAAATGGAAAAACGTACGGATCGTCGGGTGCCATTAGGAATAATACACTGGACTGATATATCCTGCGCGATGAGTTTAGATGAAAACGCTGAATTCCATGCCCTAGGAATGAGGATGGTTTGCATCAGCTTATAAATTGGTAAAAAGAAGTACAAAGTATAATCAACCAAGGGGAAACATCATTATCAACAACAGTAGATCAGTAATTTGAACTGGCGCTTTCAAGTCATATCGCCATAATGACTTGGGGAATGGCGCGGTCAGTGGCCAAATGCTTCAGGTCTCGGACTCACGCCTGCGAAAGTGCGATTAACGTCGGAGCAACCCCAGTCTGCATGTAACCGTCTATAGTCGCGTGTGAGAGAGGCGCCACAATGATTAGGCTATTCGGACAATCGGCCTCAAGAACCTCGGTATCAATGAAGTCATTTGCGAGGCTGATGAGTTCCCATAATTAACTGTTGAGCCAAGCATTCGCATTTCAACCGGCATCCATCGTCCCGTAGGCGCAATATATCCATTTAATCACTATAAAAAGTCCCAACGGACCCACCTAGCAAACCGGAAGTCCGCCCCGAGGTTGGACACGCGAAGTGATTAAAGGTTGCCGGCTAAAACGGAGTATACCCGGAACGGTGGCATAGTAATCATAAACAGCTGACTTCGATGCTCCGTAAAAACAGTCGCTCTCCGGAGGTGAATCAAAAAGGTTGGTGCTGTTAGCTGTTTCTTCTCTCCCTTGAAGCTACCTCCTTCGACCAAAGTGTAGCGATTGTACATTTCTCTCTTCCCAATTGTACCTTCCTATTCCCATTATTTATTGTACAGTTTTTTCACTGACCAACAACCGAGAAAAACACTTTTTCGGGTTTCGATTCGCCTTCTGGTTCCGGCTACGCGTGTTGTGCTGCCGATCGTCGGTCTGCTTGCCTCGTTCATCAAATCTATCGCATCGAAGTATTGTGCCGACCAAGTTTCGTCTTCCGACCGGATTGTGCGACTAACTGACGGTCTACCGAGGATCGTGCTTACCGAAGGTCCGGTCCAGCTTTCTTACTTTATAGACT